AAAAAAATATGATAAAGTGTGGGATGGTAGGTTGATTTAGAACATGAAAGAGTTGTATGTATATTAAATTTTTAAAAATTACAAGTCTAAATAAAAACTTAATGAGTTAATCAAGATGTAAAAGTGCAAAAAAAAAAAAAGATGTAAAAGTGCACTTGGAATACTACAAAGCACTATAATTACATTACTAATACAATCTGAAAAAAATGACATCCGAAGACCTGCAATATAATATGTAGTCAGTAAATATTTAATCAGAACTGTTTTTTAACAGAACTAAAATATTTCACTCTTTTTTTATTGTGGTTTTTTTTTTTAATGTATTTACAACAGGGTCTACAAGGTCTCACTATGTAGATTGGACTCATAGTGATCCTCCTATGTTCAGCCTCCCAAGCACTAGGATTACAGGCATGCAGCACCACACCCAGTCTCAATCTCTGTCTCAGCATGCCTCGTGGGTGGGGCCAGTACAGCATGCCTAGGATCGAAGCCTGGCCACTGTGCTCTGCCTAAGCAGGCGCTTTTGTCCACTGAGCTATCTGTCTGGCCCTAATATTTCACTGTTTTGTGCTCATACATATTCTCAAAGTAATGTCATTCAGTTGTCATATGTCAATTCTATTGCTTACAAGAATTTTATACCCATGTATTCCTTTCATTATTCATTAATTTATATGCTACTGAATTCCTACTATAGCAAAGGCACTGAAACAAGTTATTTCTCATTCAAACTACTAAGAATGCAACTCTTTCAAAGGATACTATATCTCTGATTCATCTGTCTTTGGCCCTGTTCCACACTGCTAAGAGACCAATCTTACAAAACAATATCCTTAGCCCAACACTACCTTCTTTCAAAACCTTTTAATGCGTTTTATTGCTAGGGTGCATATCAGTGGTAGAGTGTCTAGTATGCACAAAGCCCTGGGTTCAATCACCAGAACTGCAAAATTAAACTGACAAGTGACAACATCCAATAATACTGCAGCTTTTAGACAATCAGAGTTAGGGCCAGGATACAGGCCCTAGTTAATTAAATGGTAGAAGATATTCATAATGTGCTCAAGGTCATGGGTTCAATTCTAGAACATGCAAATACATACATACATATGCATACACACAATTGTTCGATTTCTTAGAATGATTTTTAAAGTATTCTATAATACACTATCGTTTTTCACCTTATCAGCATTCATTTGGACTTAATTTGGCTTCAGTGAAGTACTAATATTAGACTATAACGTATGGTGTTTTTCTCAGTCTTTGTTCACTGTGGTAGAAAGGTAAAAACAGTTCCCCAAATTTTTTTGTTTTCTTCTGTCCACACCCCTACAATATGATTTTACATCTTTCATCAAAAATTGAGAGTTTATTTCTCCTATCTCTTGAATATGGGCTGGACTTGTGTGCCAGCTGATGTGACTAGATTAACAGACTCCTAGAGAAGTGGCTGGATCAGGGTAGTACCATAATCATCAGTGTATTAATCCACTGATGTTCACAGCTGAATATGCAGATAGGAGATGGGCTCATTTAGAGGAGGTCACTGGGGTTAAGTTTTGGAAGGTATCTTGGTTGATACTGCTCTTCCTCTGGGTACTGTTTCCAGAATCATAAGGTAAGATGCATCCCTCTGCCAATCCCTTCCACTAGAACATTTCTGTCTTAGATCCAACTGACTAGGGAGTGAAACCTTTGAAACTATGAGCTAAGTAAAACTTCTCCTTTTAAGTACAGGATCAGTATTTTTCTCAACAAAAAAGCTGACCAATAAAATGTGTAACTTGCTCTGACCACATAATAAAAAATAAGAGTAAAACTGTGAGACTTCTAAGCCCATGATTTAGTAATTACTACAGCTATGCTTTCACTTTCACAATCCAGCTACCAGGACAAAATGAAATTTAGGCTATCCCCACTACAGAGGCCACAGGAGAGAGACAGACCACATGGAGAACAAAAGTGTTACAATCAATAGCAAGGAGCAAGGCCTTTGTGTGAACAAAGTATTTCTTAAAACCCCTGGCCATAAATAAGTCATTTCATGTAGTACCATATGCAACAAAAGACAAGCCATTCTCACAGAACTCTATAGTAATTCCTGACCCACAGAATCATAAACATGAAAATGACTGAAGTTTTAAGTAATTAAGTTTGGGGTCTTCTTACAATGCAGAAATTGATAACTGAATACATATTCATAATTTCTCCTTAAAACTCATTTCTTTTTCCCACTCCACTTACGCCACCCTCATTTTTAAAATCTATCTACTAGTTGGCAACTCCTAAAAAGGCAACTCCTCAAGGAAAACTTGATTCCCTGTAATTAATGCTTCTTTTCAAAGACAACAGGCGTTCCTATTTTAGCACTTACAATATTCTATCGCTTATTACAGTTCACATTTTTCATTTTATTATAAAATTTAAAAGGTCACAATCTGCATCACTCACTTTGTATTACCCACAATCTCACACATAAAATACATAAATAAAAACAATGCAAGGGATATTTCACTTCAGTTAATCTCCGTTATTTTCTTACCTGTAGGATCCCAAGTTATATTATGTGCTATTGAGTCCAGAAAAAATTGGCCAGTTTTTTGCCACTGACTATCCAATTCCTAAAATTAGATAAAACATCATTTAGGCAGTTATTATTAGCACCTATTCTTTTAAGTATATATGTATAAATTTATTATTCTTATAAGAATACAGTCTATCATTTGTAAGGAAAACAAAATGTTTTTACAAGTAAAAAAACACAGGGACTGAGGGCCAGCTAAATAGCTCAGTGGATTAAAGCACCTGCTTAGGCAGATGCCTGCCATGCCAGCCCCACCCCCAGGGTGCACTGAGTCAGCAATTGAGACTAGGACTGGTGACACACGCCTATAATCCCAGCACTTGGGAGGCTGTAAACAGGAGGATCTCTATGAATCTGATCTATGTAGTGAGATCCTGTAGACCCTGTACTAAATATAAAAAGCGAAACAAACGAACAAAAACAAAAACACAAACCCACAAGGACTATATGAAGGAGACCAATGAGATAATATCCATTGTTGGATGTCCAAAAATCTATTAACCTCAAATTTAATACTACTTTCATTACAATTAGAGTGAAAGTCTAACTTTAAAGGCTTGTCAATAGCTCTGTTATTTGATATGTCCTTTTAATGTTTTATCTCCATCTGAGATCATGATGGTATGTGGGAAATTCAGAAGAGAAAAATAATTCAGAAGTAACCCTTCCTTAATATATAATGCAAAGACCTCCATTTATTAGAGGAGTAGTTTTCAAACATTTTTGCCCTTCTTTTTGTATTTTGACATACTGTCTTGCTATGAAATGCAGACTAGCCTTGAACTCATGTATCTCCTGCCTCAGCTTCCTAAGCAGTGGAATTTCATATATGTACCAACATACCCGTGTTTTTGAAATCTCATTTCAGTAAGAAAAATGTTTTGTGCTGTGACACAAGCACATAAACATATATAGACAAATGAAAACTAAGGTTGGTTTAGAAAATATGCGATGTGTCCTGACATTTTGCTCTTATTTATTTATGTAGCTGGCTCAGCCCACCCTGAGAGTGGGGATGGTGCTGCATATGATGCTTTGGATTGAACCACAGTCCCTGGGCTTGCCTAAGCTTGCCTAAGCAGTCGCTTTAGACCACTGAGCTATCTTGCTGGCCCTCGTTTTCTTTTTCTTTTATTTTAAAGAAAACAATTTATTATTCAGCAGTTATATTTTCTACATAACTTGTGAATTTTTCAACATCAAATATTTTCATCATTTGCTTCCATTCTTTCTTGAGCAGTCTTCACTGTTCCTTCTATAACGCCATACTTGAGGCAATGAAGTATTTTTAACAACTGCCAAAGGACTTGTACATTCATTTCCAACTATCTCATTACATGCAATTTTCTTCAGTTACCTTCTATGATCAGTTCTTGAAAAATATTGTTCACAACCTTCATATATCTTCAAAATGCATAAGCTTTATTGTACCTTGAACAGCCTGGGGATGGATACCCGGCACTGCCGCCACCCTGAGGACATGGCTGACAATGATGCACCCACCTTGCTGTTTCGGAGACTGCGCGGAAAAGGCTATTTCATTTATTTATTTATTCATTTATTTTATTTATTTTTGTATTGTAGGGAAGGGTCTACAGGGTATTCAGGGTCTCACTACTAGATCAGACTTGTGGTGATCCGCCTGTTTACAGCCTCCTAAGAGCTGGATTACAGGCGTGCGCCACCATACCCAGTCTCAACTGTCATCTCAGCAAGCCCCAGTGGGCGGGGCCAGCATGGCAGGCCCTGGGATGGAACCCCAGCCACTGAGCCTGCATGCAGGCGATTTAATCTGCTGAGCTATACCTTTTTTTTCTTTTTAAATTCCAGTTTTGATCTGTAAATTGGTTTAACAGCCCACTAATAAACTGAGATCTATAAACCCTCTCTTAATGTAGTTGTTCTTAAACTACAACAAAGATGAAGCTAAGTTGTGTATTAAAAGTTCAGACTTCCAACACCTATGCCCAAAAATTCAAGTTCAAAGGTCTAGTTTGCAGCACAGGAATATGCAGGGTGCTTAATCTAGCATCCTAAATGATGGGTATTCCAGGTGGTCTACAGTGTACGCTTTTATGAAATGCTGACTCTCTAGGAGCAGATCTATGAATATGAGAACCCTCTCTAGAACTACATCTGGACACATGTAACCTACCCATAATTTTGCAGCATATATTTCACTGTAATGTTCTCATAAGAATATTTACCATCTCAAAGAATATTCCAGAATACATAGAGAAAAGGGGACAATATCTTTTAATGAGGACTCAAATACCAATAAAACTATATTCTAGAATTACAAATTTTACACCTTTCAAATCTATGCTTTTTTCATAGATCCATTTTTTAAAAATTTTTTAAAAAATATTTTATTTATTTGGGGCAGGGGAGACAGCTCAGTATAATAAGTGCTTCCCTGCCAAGCGCAAGGACCTGAGTTCAATCCCCAGTTCCAAAAAAAAAAAATTATTTATTTGATACAGGGTCTTGCTATGCAGCTCAGACTTGTAGTGATCCTCACGTCAGCCTCCCCAGTGCTGGGATTATAGGCATGCAGTACCACACTCAGTTTCAATAGCTGGCTTGGCATGGGGCAGCACAGCATGCAGTACCAGGGATTGAACCTAGGTCCTTGCACTTGCCAGGCAGGCACTCAGACCACTGAGCTATCTTCCCAACCCATCATATGAACCAGTTTCAAATACATTTTCTACTCTTTTGGCAATGCTACTAAATTAGCTTCCTCTTGTAGAGTATTTTACACTATTATATTCATCAATAATTAATAAAAGAGAAAATTGACCAAAATCAAACATTTCTGTTTTACAATTACTAGTAAGGGCATTTAAACATAAATGTATTGTACACACACTAATAAGGGCATTTTAACATAAAACAGTGAATTTTTAAAATAGCATTTTTTATTCAACAACAGTATTAAGTACTGAAGTATTTTACTGTGAATGGCTTGACCACTTATAAAATTTGCTTTTGGTACTGTCACTTATTGATATGGCTGTAAGAGCTTCTAATAATATACTCACTAGATAATGTACAAACACAAATAGAAATGAGAGATAATTGTGAACAGTTCATGAAATTTAAAGATGGACATCAACTACCCCAGAGAAAATATTTTTTATTAACACAAGGTAAGGAAGGAATGCTCACACCTAAGAACCAATACAGCTGGTTTTTTCTTTAGTTCTGTGGCTCAACAGATAAAATAATTGAACAAGTATTTATTTTCTTTGAACTTCTGCTGTCTTACTCATTTAAAAAAAAAAATAGGAAAGAAAAAAAAGCAAAGAAGGATGAAATGAAACAACAGCTGTCCAAATTAGCTTAGGAGTAATTTGTAAAACACTAATGAATTAAATGAGAACAATAAAAAAAGACCCAGGTATTTCTATTATCAAAATGTTTAATTCTTTACAATACATTTTTACAGTCTTTGATATAATGTTATCCTTACAATAATGCTACCAAGAATAAATAGGTCTTAAGTCAATTTAGAGATGGACAAATAAACCTACCAGGATGACTTGTTTTGGATCAAATAACTACAGTGAAGCAGACACAGAAACCAATGCTAAGATCTCTTAACATACTGGTCTCTCAATTGCACTGTGCTGATGCCTTTCATAACGCTTAAATCATAGTTTAACCTTCAACAGAAACAGAGAAAACTATGGTCCATTTGTTTTATTTAAGAGTACTAAAGCATATATGAAGGCTACTATATCATCCTAGTATTTAGAACCAATTGTTTAACTAGCTTTCACAAGTACTTCTGAAGAAGTACTAGCTAGAAAAGAAAAATGTTCCATTGACCTGATAATTATGATATGCTTTCATAAAAGAAATTAAGTCCTAGAACTATATTAACAAACACGAAAAAAATATGTAACTGAACAATATACATATTAGAAGGCAGAAAAACTATATAAATATAAACCTAAAAACCAAAAATAATGGGCCACACATGGCTATGAAACAGTATTTGCTGCTAGGAATAAAGTAACTAACAATTTTAACTTTTAATTTCTTAAATATTATAAAATTTAAACTGTGAGAAAATAAGTAATGCATTTTAAGACAATTTACTGACACAATTCAGTACAATTCTATTCCATGAAGTATTTAAATATTTTAATATGAAAGTGGGATTTAACACATATCTTCAATTATACTATATAATTTATACCAATCTATTTGATGATCACCATGGTTTTATATCTTTGATATCTAATAACATTTCATTTCCTCAAAGAAAAGTTACAAATTTACTGACCAAATTTTTCTTTTGTTTCGGTAGATTAACTGGTTCAAAAACGGAGATAATATTTCCATAGGATGCTGCAATCTTTAAAAAGAAGAAAAAGAAATTATGGGTATATTAACTTACTTATGGACTACAATTTAAAATACATGCATGCACGTAATTTCGTTCTTTAATACCTGAGAATGAAAGACTTTTCTTCTGTGGTACTGGGGATTAAATCCAGAATCTCACACACACTAGGCAAGTATCACCAAACTGTATCCCCTGTCCATTTTATCTTGAGACCAGATCTTACTAAATTGCCCAGGCTTGCCTCAAATCTGTAATCCTCCTGCTTCAGGTCCCACAGTACCTGGATTATAGGCATTATACCACTGTGCCCACTGAAAAGTCAGTTCTGAAGACCATCACATATGGATTACAATCCTATTACTACTACCTTCTACATAACTAGCAAATTAATCTCTCTGTACCTTGATTTTCCTACTGGTGTTTATATGTGTAACATGGTCTGCCTAATTAATAGTTCTACTTTGAGGACCAACAAACATTTGCAAAACACTTAGCATATACTAAATCATATATAATATACATATAAATGTTAATTGCTTTTCTTGCAGAACAAAACATCAATGTAATCTATCAAATATGGAAGTGGTATGATTTAAAAATTAGTTTTTAGAATATCTATCATTGAAGTTCATAATTTAGTATTCACTCTTTTTTTTTTTTTTGCTTTTTGTTTTTGTGGAACTGGGGATTGAACTCAGGCCCTTGTGCTTGCCAGGGAAGAGCTTATTTTACTGAGCCATCTCCCCGTCCCCAGTATTTACTCTTTTAAAAATAAAACTTAGATTTAGTCCTTTGTGAATCCTCTGGGTACATTTTCAGTTTATCTTTTAGATGCATTATTTCTAAAATTTTTTGCAGGGTGGTAGGGATTAAAGTCAGCATTTTGTCTACACATACTACCACTGAGCTATCCCTCTAACCACTTAAATTTATTAACTCAATGGAACATAACCTTTTCTGGCTCTGTTTTATAAGGTAGCTACTATCATAGCTTAAGTGATTTCCATATAATGAATTTACCAAAATATCAGAAATCAGGTAAAAGGAAAGACTAAGAATCAGCACCAGAAAATATATAACCTAATAGAGGAAGGAAATGAAATGAATAATTACATATGGCAAAAATGTGCAGTAGGTATTTTGAGTCCTCAGTTCCTAGAAAGTGGAAATCACCTGCCCTGTAGTACCTGGTAAGGAGTATTTAGTCTGGACCTTTAAATATGAGATGTATTTCAAAAGGTAGTGAGTGTTTAATTTTAGAAATGAGGCACACTATGAACACAGATGAAAAGATTTTAAAAGGTAACACATATTCAGAGGTGACTAGCCACCAGCCTAGCAAGAAGAAAGTGTTCCTTGTAACAGAATAATGCGTAATGAGACTAACAAAGCAGGTTTGAGTCAGGATGTAGTCAGGATGTAGAAGAACCTGGACCAATGTGAACAATTTGACTTTTCCAAAGTAATGGGAAGTGAAGAATGTTTAGAAGCTGAGAAAAGACAAGAGAAATACAGATAAATTTTCTCAGAGAAACTAATTTCATGGTTTTACAAAGAAAAAAATGCTGAAAAAAAAAAAGAAAAAGAAAAAATGCTATCAAGATTCTCTCACTATTAGGGCCTGGGAGACAGCTCAGTAGAATAAGCACCTGCCTGGCAAGTGCAGGGTCCTGAGTTCAATCCCTGGTAAAAAAAAAAAAAAAAAAAAGGAAAAAAAGATTCTCTCTCTCTATTCTCTTCACCCCCTTCTCCATAATTACGACTGAACCCAGGACCTTCACACTGAGTTACATTTGCAGCCTTTTATATTTTTTAATTTAGATAGGATTTCACTAAATTGCTAAATTGGACTGGCTGGGCTTCAACTAGCAATACTCCCGCCTCAGCCTCCCAGAGTGCTAGGATTATAGGCATGCGCCACCACAAACCACCCTTAAATCCAAACTGAAGAAGTCTCTAGGTACCAGGACTTGAAAATTTTCTTTCTGATATTGTAAGGAACCCTTTGATAACAATATCTGCAAATAAAAAAATTTGCCTTTTAAGGGGTGGGGGATATGCTCAGGTACAGGGCCTGCCTGGCAAGTGTGAGGTCCTGAGTTTGATTCCCAGTACTTTCCCGCAAGGAAAGAAAAAAATTTGCCCTTTATGAGAATGATCATAAAATAAAAGACTTCTATATTCTAATGTGGACTATCATGTAATCTATTATAAAAAGAAAGTGCTCATTGGATATTAATCAAATAAGATTTATAACATTAGTTCTATGTGCAACTGAATGATGGAACTAAATTTTTGTTTTTGTAGTACTATAGATTGAACACAGGGCCTTGTACATGCTAGCTAAGGGCTCTAACACCGAACTACATAACCTGTCCTATAAGCAAGTTTTTATACAGTACTAAAGATCATGGGAACTTCACAGCTAAACATTAAGCAAACACGAAGATAATGACAAAAACAGATGTTTAACATTCCCAAACTTGGCCCTGCCTCAGTCTCTTAAAATTGCCTGAGTTTCCTAAATGTACAGCAAAGTCTTCAGTAAAAGAAACAAATAATACAGTTTGGGGAGTCCAGGAGGTTAAAACTGTCTTGGAGCTAAGATGAAGACCTCTCTGGATAGTCAGTATTACTGGATTTCAAACAAGCTCTGTGTGAGGCAATGTGAAAGGAAAAGCTGACCTAAAGGTGGGAAATTGAGCAAGGCCTTGTGAAACAAAGGATCAAAGACATTCTATGCAGTAAATCTTGCTAATTATACAGCCTGGTCCCCAACAGTGAAAAGTAACAAAAGGTATAAATAAGACAAAATTCAGAAATGCCTCGAATTATAGTAAAGAAAAGGAACATAAAGACAAAAGGAACAGCAGTAGAAGATATTTGGTAGACTACAGAAATTCCTTTCTCCAAGAGTGTCCTTAAGTCTCAAATAGAAACTACATTATGGCAGTTTTATCAAAATTAGGATAAATTATTAAAGGGACTCTGCCTATGAACTCTTTTTTTTTTTTTCCTATGAACTCTTATATGCCAATTTTTAGTCCTCTCACAGTTTCTAGTTGGGATGGTAGTGCTGCTCAGTAGTACAGTGCATGCTCAGAATGCTTGAAGGCTTGGGTTCAATATCTAGCAGACTCACAGACAGACAGACAGACAGACAGACAGACAGACACACACACACACACACACACACACACACACACACACACAAGAACCAGTGACACCACATAGTTAAACAACAGTTAAATATTTAGAGAAAAAAAATAGTACTTCTGATTTGATTTGAAACTGTCTCATTGCTATCTGTTTATCAATAAAATTTTGGAAAAAAAAATTTGCAAAGTTCATTCCAGTATAACTACAATTATAAATAAGACATGACCATCTATGCCAAGAGAGTGCTATTTTAAACTATATAATGCTGCCTGCTAGTATGACTTCCCTTCTGGTACTACATAGAACTATATTTAATTTAATATAGGATAACTGTATTCCACGTATCTTTGGTTTTTATGGTATTTATATGAACTTCAACGTTACAGTTTCTTTTTTATATGCAAAACAAAGTCTAAAGAAAATTTTTTATTTTTCCTATGGACTTGAAAACTAAAATATTACAAGTTTCAGAAGAGTTAGTCATCCTTTCAGTAAAAAGTTTATCTACAAACTACAAAGTAATAACTACCTGCTTACAAAATAACTCTAGCAAATGATTTTTCTTCAAGACAAGAAAAAAAAAAAATTTGAAGATTTCTAACAGATTGAAGATTTCTTCTCTTGTAATCTCTCAATCCAATTAGTTTATACATAAACTTTAGACATGTTCTGTAAGAATGAATACATTTCTTTCTCTTCTACTTTTCAAAATTATATAAAGATACTCTAAAATATATCTTAGATAACCAAAGAAATTTAGTTACCTGGTCCATGAAATAAACCATTTCAATAGGAAATCTGTATTTCAGAGATTATTCTGACAAAAATCTGAGGATTACAAACCTTGCCTTGCTGCATGGAACAGTCTACACATCCCACTTGAATGTTTCCATGTTTAGCTCCTGGGATTATTTGCAGTCTTTCAAAATCACTTCCCAGTATTACAATGTCACATCCAGATGCATAAGCCTAAATAAAATAAAATTAAAAGGCATTGAGAAAAATATTTATCACATACAACACTGGCATTAAACATGAAGTCTTAGACTTATTTTAAGTATTTTCTTTTTTAAAAAAACCATTATTTGGGCTTATTTCTCTTCTTCCCATATGTAGTATAACAGAAAAGTCTATCAGTCCAATCTGGAAAATACATACAATTATATCCACATCTTTTACTCCTACCAAACGTGACTTCTGTCTAAGCCACCATCATTTTTCTCCTATACTACCATTAATTTTTCAACTGCTTCCATTCTTGTCCCTAAATATTTTTTTTAGTATCAGTTTTAGTGTGGAAACACTAAACCTCTTGAATAGTTTCCCACGCTTAAATCTCTTGAATAGTTTCCACTGTCCTTGGAATTAAGTCTCAACTCATTACCACAGTCAATAGTCCTGATTGTCACATGAATTCATCTCAGGATATTCTTTCCTTCTCTTGCCTGGTTTCTATTCCTACAAAGCCCTTTCTTCTGTTTCTTTTTGTTTTATTTTTTACCAGGACAAGAATCAAACTCAGAACCTCATGCTAGCCAGGCACGTGCTGTGCTACTGAGCTATCTCCCCAACCCTCTTCCATTTCTTTTTACAACTCTAAGAGGTTTATCCTATTTTTATCTGACTAGTCTTTTGTCTAGTTAGCTTCCTTTCAACTTTCAGGTTTTGGTTCCTGACCATCTATCTCTTACTACTTTCTATCACATTATTGTTTACTGTCTTCATAGCATATATGATGATCTTTAAATGTGTGGGGTTTTTTGTTGTTGTTTTTTTTTTTTTTTTTTTTTTTTTTTGGTGGGGCCAAAGATTAAATTAAGGACCTTGCACTTGCCTGGCAGGTGCTTATGCCACTTATATCCCCAGCCCAATGTCTTGTTTACTATTCATTTCCCTTTCTATAAATTAATTTCAAGAAGAGATGGTTTATTGTGTTCTCCACCTTCATTCCCTCCCCCCATGATAAAATGAAGGGCTTGGAATACAACTAGCATTTTATAAATGCCTACAGAGTAAGTACTTAATTTCACAGAAACACCCTCCATAATCAACCAAAGAAAAGGGTACGCTCTTTAACTTTGGTCGCAAATATCTTATACTGAAACGTTCTATATTTTACAATTAGTAGAACTCTTCCAACTATATTACTTTTTGTGTCTTTTTTCCCTACTTCCTTCTCTAATCACTGGAGTTTCTTCTATTACCAGGTACATGGTTGTACCCCTAAGATTTATATATTGTAGGCACACACAGTATACATTTTGTCAATTAAGAGTATCTACAATAAACTATATTTTCATTCTAAGTTCTTAAAGATTTAATAATTTATTTCTCATTATTTTTGCATATATATACATATTAACGTAAACAGCTTATATTTTATGTGTATGTTATGTCTTAGTAACTTTCTTGAGGGTAAAATGCAATACTCAAAACCCACAGTTTAAAGGAGGAAAGGTTTGTTTTGCCTCAAGGTTTTAGTCTACCTTAAGCAGGTTCCACAGAAGAAATAAGAGCCAGCGGGACACAGTGCAGGAAAAGGTGCTTAACCCAATGTCAGCCAGGAACCAGAGAGAGAGGAGAGAGGACACAAGAATGCACGTACACATTTCTGGGTTGTGACCCCCCATGACCCACCTCTATGACCAGGCACCACCTTCTAATAACACATTAAGCAACTTAACTCATAAGTGGAATAATTTATTGATGAGTGCAGTACCCCATAATAAAATCATCTTCTATCCACATGAAAATTTGGGGGGACATTCTAGATCGAAGTCATAACATTCTACTCTTAGTCCTTAAAAGATTCATGTCTATCTCATTATGCAAAATGCATTTGTTCTACCCCTAAGAATCATCAAACAGTTTCAGCACTGCTAAAACATCCAAATCCAAATTCTCCTGTAATACAACAAACACTTAGTTGTGGGCAACTATAAAAAAATTAAAAGTAAAGTTAAATACAGTGATACCTTAGTTCACAAACTTAATTCTTTCCATGATTCTGGTTGCAACTGAATTACAAGCCAACTATGCAATCAGAATCATGGAACAAATTCTATGACCATAATCATAGAAATAAATTCATGAACCAAAATACCACTGTACTTTCAACAAACAATGGCACATTCCCTTTGTAAGACAGAAGAACTAGGATAAAAATGAATGAGGCCAAAATACCACCAAAACCCAGCACAGCAAACATTAAATCCTGGAGCTCTATGTTAGGCACTGTTGTAGCCAGGGTTTGCAAGGGAATAGCTTTGATACAGGACACAACTTACAGGATTATTTTATAATACTCACCCAAAAAGTCAAATGTAAAAGAACACCAAAGATCTGTCCATGCACTAGAGACCCAAAGAATCAAGCTAAGAATCTGAGATCTCACAAAAATGTGCTGAACAAGTCCAACTATAGACCTAGAGTCCATGGCAAGGTCCTTCACAGATCCAGATGGATAATGCAAGTCTGTATCAAAGGTCTGCACTGGGAAGGGCCAAAGGCAAGTGGTGGAAGCTAGAAAGTCTATACTAACAAGATGAAGGATCTATGTCAGCAGAATAAGGAATATGCATTGCAGCCAGGAAGCAACGCTCAAGGTAAGGACCAGAGCTCACCCAATGATGAGAACAGCTGAGTTTGTATCAGGAAAACCAGTGTGAAAAGCTTCTTCAGGAGAATAAACCATATTCCCCTAGAGTTCTTTTACACTTCTGGCAACGTTACTCAGGTGGGGCTTCCAACCTCAGACAACACTGATTACAAGTTGACTATTAGTTAATGCATTAAAAGCACCAAAATAAAGTTGTGATATAAGCTCCAAATGACTTGGGTAACCCTGTCCATATGGCTTCAACAAGGGTGGGTCCACTAATTGCCAGCAGCTTTCATCAACAGATGATCTACATTTCTGACATCTGCAACCTCCTGGAATCTCTATTGAATTTTCAACTTTATTCTCATAGTTTTACGAACTGGCTTCTCAAGGGCTTTCTGTCCACAAACAAGAATAAATTCTGAAAATAGTTGCCTTTCATAACATTTAAATAACTAGAAACTGATTTTCCTCTCAATATTAAATTTAGATAAAACAGTGACTGCCACTACTTCTCAAAATACTGTGTCATCAACAGATGAATGAACAAACAAATGTGGTACTTATATATAAGAAAGCACTACTTTGCCATAAAGAAGGATAAAATGGAGTCATCTGTTTAAATATCACATTGTTTCTCATCTAGGAAACAACAGGTAAATAAGGAGTATAATGGAGGATAGATATTAGGAGTAGGAAGAACACGTTCAAATGGGAAGGAGAATAAAGAAGGGGGAGAAGCAAGGGAAGGAACAGAAAAGGGGAAAAAAGAGAATAGAAGGAAAAAAATAGAAACAAAGCTTTTATAAATGGGAGGGGAAGACAGGCTGAGGGGAAAAGGAGGGAAATGGGAAAAAAAAAAAAAAGAACCAAGATATATTATGTACACATACAAGTGCCCTATGATGTATATCATCAATATATATGACAAACCTATACTAATAAAAATACAAAGTTAAAAAACACTAAACTGTGTATGTTTACAATTTAAGATTTTTTTCCTTTCAAATTTTTAAGCTGGATAAAAACCATGTCTCACAGCCTCATCTTCCATTCATGATACCTGAAATTGTTAACCTAACATCAAATAATATGTTGCAGATATTTTTTCTGAAACATGACTGCATTTTCCCACAGTAGCTCACAAATTACTGTTAAATAAAAATATTCTACTTTCAGGTTGAGAAGTGCTATGGTATCCCCAAAATAGGGGCCAGGGAGATGGCTCAGTAGAATAAGTGCTTGCCTGGCAAGCATAAGGGCCTGAGTTCAATGCCCAGTTACACACACACACACACACACACACACACACACACACACACACAAAATTCTAATGATGATCTTAGGGGCCGGGGTGATGGCTCAGTAGAATAAGTGCTTCCCTGGTATCCCCAAAATAAACAATCCTATAGAGGAGAAACCACATGTAATACTTCCACATTCAAAGACTTATCTACCTCTGCACTCCTTTGTTCTTCATCCACAGCTGCATTATACTCTTACTGTTTTTTTTTATTTTAACTATCTGAGGTAGTAGGGACTGACTCTAGAGCCTTCACACTGACCTACATTCCCTGCCTTTTTTCTGTTTTCTTTTTTTTGAGTCAGGGTCTCACTCAGTCACTAAACTGCAGAGCCTGTGTTTGAACTTGGAATCCACTTGCCTCAACCTCCCAGACTGCTGGGATATAGGTGTGTGCCATGCCTGGCTTTACTGATGTCATTTAACTTTTTCCTCAGTGACAAGAGTAGAAGCTACCACGCTCCCTATCTCTAATTTTAATAAAATTTAATAGTAAATGAAAGCATTAATCTTTATGAATATTATAAAAGAATAGGGTAACATTGAGGATATATATTCTTTTGTCCTTTCTTTTATTTGTTTCACTGTTATTAATGAATATTAACAAACTACTAGATTGGCAAAGAAAAAGATATAATGAACAGTACTCTACATCTCATTATTTGATATTATGCTTACAACAAAAATTCTCATTCTGGACCACAGAATTTTAAATTTAATAGTTTTTATTTCTATATAATTAAAAAATGAACTAATAAACCACATTTGCATTTTCCATTTTTTAATTTTTTTGAGAATTTTAAAATGTTTCCTTAAAAATTTTGTGTGCAGCTAGGCATGTTGGTACACCCTTGTAATCCCACTTGGGAGGCTGAGGCAAGAAGAGCACCTTGAGTTTGGGGCCAACCTAGGCTACATAAGTGAGTTCACAGTCAGTCTGAATTGTGGAGACCCAGTCCCAAAAAAAAGTAGCAAAAATTCTGTATACATACAATTCATAATGGGTAAACCTTGGAAGTAGCCTATATATGTCCATTAACAGATAAAGTTTTTTACAAGGTACTT